GATGATGAGTAATGGAAGATGAAATGCTGAGGAACTTGGATAACGCACTGCGGGTGCTATGGCTAGGTGGTTAGCTGCATAGGAGTGGATGTGATAATGGACGCAGGAGATACAGAGATCACAGATTGATCGTCAAACAGAGAAGAAAGCAAGACCTATTTGCTATGTCTTTAATGTTATTAGTTTCTCTTGAATAAAACAAATCTGGGAACAATAAAAAAAAAAAAAGCAAGTTAGCCGCCAATAGATCTAAAACAACACTGAGGTCTTATTTAGTCACAAAAGTATGAAGCCATCAACATTACTGAGGACAGAATTTCTGCAGCCACTGGGCCCGATTGTTGTTGTCAGTAAATATTTCCAGGTTGTACAACAGCTACTCATTAAACCACAGAGTTTCTTTTCTACACCAAATAAAATTATAAACGCTGCACTTTTGTTTTTGCCTGCATTCATCATGAGCTGAATTCAAAGATCGAAGACTTTCTCTTTGTACACAAAAGGCCTATTTCTCTCAAATATTGCTCACAAATCTGTCAAAATCTGTGTTAGTGAGCACATCCTTTGCCGAGATAATCCATCCACCTCACAGATGCGGCATATCAAGATGCTGATCAGACAGCAGTGAATGGGATCTTCTTGGTTGTGAATGGTAAAACATATTTATTGTCTGTGGTATGTTAATGATCACTAAGTCTTTTAAGTCTGGAGACAGCATCAGTCCAGTAGGCTCAGTTACTCTGCAGTGTTCACTTCTCTCCAAGAACAAAGGAAACACATATCAGTGTCCAGTTGAACACAATGTGCGCTGGTTCAGAGCTGTATCAAGAGAATCCTATCTAAGCATAATTTACAGTCACAAAGACAGCAGTGTTGAACAGGTGGAAAAGAGCTGTGTCTACAGTCTGTCCAAAACTATACAGAGCTCCTCTGATGCTGGGATGTATTACTGTGCTGTGGTCACATGTGGAGAGATCCTGTTTGGTGACCAAAGTGGATACAAGTATGTTTTTCACAACTATATTAAAATCATGTATTTAACTTGCATAAATTAATTTAGCCTGGTTAAAATGTTCTAGATTCTGGCAGATAAGTCTGTTCGTTTCTTTTAAGGTTAAGGGAGGCTAAGAGTTTATAAAAATATGAAGCCAATACACGCACTTATCAATAAAATTTAATCATTGTATAATTAAGACATTTAAGACCATAAACATTTATTATACAAAATTATTTTCAGGAACTTATTAATTCGTAATAATTACTTTTACGTACATTGTTTGTTTGTTTTCCAGATAAATGGCTTTAAGGAAATGTTTCTGATTCAGGATGAGAATTATACCAGTTGTCCTTCTGCTTGAAGTGCAGTTTGCCTGCAGTGTGACTGTGATTGCTGTCCTTTTTTTCTATGTGGATCGAAGGAAAGTTTGTGAACATTGCAAAGGTCAGTTCACCATATTTTACTTATCATTTCATTTAAGCTTTTTGAAACCCAACCATGAATGTCTGAATATAATAAATGACTTTGCTGTTAAACAGAAAATGTGGGCTTCAGATTAGATGGTTTATAGTAACTCCAAATGATGTATTATTTGCAAAATCCATCCATATGTCTTCTTTGGGACAACATTTTATACATTTGTGTTTCGATTCAACAGAATATGGCGATGGTGGAAATAAAAGTAAAACTATCACTGCAGCATACTGTTGCAGTCACAGAGGTACTGTATTTAAAAGAAAACACATAACCTACTGGACGAATCTGCTCATCCTCTTTTGCTGGTTAGAATGTTAGTTTGGTTTTCTTGTCACAGTGTCACATTATTGTAAACTGGAGGTCACTATATGTCATGTTTTGAATGTAAAATATAATTTTGCACACTAGATAATAACTTTTATTGTCCAATTAAGGAAATACAACCCGTCCCTGTCTGTCCCTGTGTGTCCCACCACAAAGTGCTATTGCTGCAGGAAATGCTGAACACCTAATTTTAGATGTTATATGTTTCTATTCACATGTATGTGAATTGAAACTAGCACAGTTGTCCTTGAGGAAAGCACCCTTGACTGCTCAAAGCTCAGTTGAACACTGAAGCTGTTTTGGGCACATTATAGGAGTGATTGTGTTTGACTGTAAAGCCAAAAACTTACTATTCATCTGTGTTCTTTAATAAGAGATGACAAAAATCAGACTGATATGACAGAAGTAACCATATCCCTCATGTGTACACACATTCTAAAGGCTTTGTTTTTATTTTAACAGGAACAGTGAGTGATTCCCATCATCTTGGACACAACAGTTCAACTGTAAATCAATGAAATAACCTGGTAAATGTGCAACAGTGAGTGTGTGGTTTTCTCTGGCTACATGGGTATACTAATATATATTCTACCTATTCCTACCGTTTGTATTTACCAGATCCTGTAGATATGATAAATAGCATCAAGGAAAGACATGCAAATATAATACTGATAACTAACAAATTACATAAAAGAAAAAAGAAAGAAAAAGAAAAAATAAGATAAAATGTTGAGCACTTCTGTTCTAAATCTATAGTCTAGACTTTATCTTGACCTAACAGGTCATGTTACAGCCCTAATCACTGAAACATTTGTCATTAACAAGCAATTTTTTTTTTCTTTTTTAGCTGAATGGTGAAGCAAAGGCAGCAAACTATGCAGCACAAGATATCTCTTCAAGGAAAGTGAAAAGACAGAAGAACAGCGAATACTTGACAGAGTGTATGTACTCTGTTGTTAAAGCAGATGTCAGCCACACCCCTCTCTATAACGTCTTTTCCACTGCATGGTACCAGCTCGACTCGACTCGCCTTGACTCTACTCGCCTTTTTTTGGTTTTCCACTGTGGAAAAGTTGTACCTGTACCTGCTACCAGGTACTTTTTTTCCTCCATCGAGGTTCCAAGCGAGCTGAGGCAATACTAAAATGTGATGTGAAAACACGGCAATTACTGATTGGTCAGAGCGAATCATCACCATTCACTGCATCATCATTTCACACACCAGACAGATGCCAGCTACAGAAAGTTTTACATTTTATAATTTTCATACGTTATTTCATCACTAAATCCACTTCTGAGAAATCAACTGTGTAGAGGTGAGAAATCAACTGTGTGGAGGTGAGAAATCAACTGTGTAGATTTTGTATATTGCGAAAACTGATGGCGGAACAAAAATGTGCTTGAAAGTTTTCGGAATTGAGGATTGAAGTGGTGGTGGGGGATGCCTGCGCCAACCCGCGGGAGGAGCCCACGAGGCCGCCCGCTCACAGAGCCCTCTGGTCCCACGGTCACACAGACCGCTCCAGCAAAAACGGCAGAGGAAAACCAAGCTGTGAGGTTTTCATACCGCTTATCTGTCTTTATATTTGGAATAATGTTTGAACGTTTTAGGTTTTAACTAGTGCTGTCAGCATTAACGCGTTAATAGCAACGAGAATAAAGACAGATCATAACGTTTTAATTGAGTTAATCACGTTATACGCGTGTGTCAAATATTCTTATTACACCGTCACTGGTGCTGTTACCAAAGAATCTTTGCCTAAAAGCTATTTTGACCGTTCAGCGCACCCTTACTACCTGCTACCTCCTGCTGTAGCCATCGTGCATTGCATTTTTTCACTGGCTGTAATTATAGGACACATCATTGTACCCTTTACTACAAAGCTAAATGGCCCTCTCTCTATGCTAGAAGGTACACTCATTGGATGTTTCACGCACTTCTTGGACTAGCTCCTACCTCTTTGAGTATCTTTTTAACAAGTACTCAAGGCCATTATGGATTACGTTCAAAGGACGTTTTCCACTTGTTGGTCCTCCATGTCCGAACAGAATTAGGTAAAAAAGCCTTCATGTTTGCTGCACCTTCTGCTTGGAACCTTCTTCAGAACTTGTTGAAACTGCCTTTATTTCTTATAGACAGTTTGTTTCAACTCTGAAAGATCATTTCATCTCATTGGTTTCAACTGAATTTAAAAATAATGTAGCTATGGAGTATTTTGTTAGTTATGCACTTTATAATAATGTGTGTACATTTTGTACATGCACTTTTGCTTTAGAATTTTTGAAAGCAAGCTTAAGGAAGACTATATTAATTTACATTGATTATTTACCTCAGCCTCGTAGCACATCTTTTGATTTGAAATAATCAAATAAATCTTTCTTTGCATTAATTTGATTTCCAATCAAGATACACTGTCAAGAATTGTTATCATTGTTAATACGAACTTGAAACAGTTAAGATATATAACAATAATAATATATTAATAATAATAATCGTAATAATAGAATTTTAATCATGTGATAAAACAGGCGATTAATCGTGATTAACTATTGAAATTCAGCGATTAATCGCTTAAGACAGTATTTCTGTAAGAAGAGATGTCGTAACATGTCTGTGGATGTGTGTTTGCTTCTGGCATTAAATATGGATACATAGTAACTGCATCTTCAGCAATAAAATACAAAAATGATCTCTTTCTCCAAACAAAAGACATTCATGATGATGCAATAAACTTATTTTCTAAAATCCTCTGATCTGACTTTCTCTCTCCCCATCCTAATTTCAATACAGGGTATTGTCTGATTCTGAGTACTGATTCATATTATTTTTGGATCCAATAATAATAATAATCGAGTATACCTTGTTCGTTTTCTCTACTTTAAAAACAGTAAACCTCTCTGATATTTGGTCCATCAACATAAATTTGCCTGTAACTTTTAGGGGTGTAACAATAATGTCCACGTTAACAGAAACACATTTGAATAGCCTTACTGTGTGTATTTCTGGGTATTTTTTTATCTTTATTAAAGCCATTAGAGACATGATTGGAAATGCGGGAGAAAGATGCAATAAAGGTCCCGAGCCAGACTTGAACTGGACAATGTAGTTCACATTTGGCACCTTTACCTCTAATACACGGGGGTTCACATTTGCATGAAAAAGACAAAATCTACTTTTTTTAGACGTTGAAAAAATTATATACAGTAAAACATAGACAGTACTACCAAATAGCCACAGACAGTATAACAAACCCTTTAGCTCCAAACAGACTAACATTAACTATATCATACAGTACCAACTGATGACAAACAGACCTGTTAACTCACTAATCCAAACGAAAATCCTTGACAGCAGCATAGATCCTCTCTCTCTCCGCTGCTTTTGCATCCTTTTTTACACCGTCAGCTTTCATCAAGCTGAAGACGACAGCAGAATAAATCCATGTGTCCTCATCTCTCTGAGAAAATACATGAGATGATAAAGTTAAAAAAGCTTCATAACTGGTTTAATAAGATTAATCACAATTTTAAATTCCTTACCTGTTGACTTTTCTGATAACCACTGTTTTGTTGCAGAACGACTGTAGCTGAACATTAAGAAATATAATATATAGATAACAATACAAAAAGATGCAGTACTTTTTAGTTTTCATTTAATAGAGAACTTTGAGTAACTTCTATTACTGTTGGAACAATCAAACTTGCTTGTCTTCATTGTGTAAATGAGGAAGGCAATAACAATCCGACTTAAAGCCAAGACAGCACACAGCTGGAAAATAATTGCATTTCCTTTCTGTGACCAAATGGCTCCTGGACCATTATCAAAAGTTAAAAACAATGAACGTTAGCAATGAATAAAAGTAAATTATTTTAAATGTCCCCCTCCTTGTTAAATGATTTTGCATCTTAATGAATTTTATTTAATATCTTACACACCATGGAGAAGAATAAATTATTAATCAAAAAACAGATTTTATGCATTTAAAAGTCTTATTACGGAAGTGATAATAAAGTTACCTTGAAAGTCCAGTTTTGTCTCCAAATAATATTTTCCCACATGTGGCCACAGCACAGTTATAAGTCCCAGCATCAGAGGAGCTGACGTGATAAACACAGCTTTTCTGAGAGTCAGATCTCTTCTCACATTCATCATGTCCATTTCCATCAGTGTAAATGTCTGGGTGAGATTTATCTATTCCGGCTCTGAACCAGTACACGTTTAAAACTTTGTAAAAGTAGATCACACTATTACCTTTTACTAACAGATATGTCCCACTCCATCACCAGAATCAGTCCAATCTGTTTGTTGCTTGTACCAGTGGAGTATTCTACTGCTCAACTCTTGATTAGGCAAAACACATGTTAAGGTCGCAGGTTCACCAAGTTCAACGGTGGTCAATGGAACCAATGTATCTGAATGAAATGAAAACATACAATATATAAAACAGTAATTGTATGATGTGGAATGGATATGATGCAAAGTTGTCCAGTTGGCATATAAATTCTTAAATAAAATAATAAAATAGCACTTACATCCTTGATAAAGACAAGCATTGTAACCCATAACAGGATCATCTTGACATTGCGTCTTGTCAAGAAACTTGTTGGTATTTCAGTGAGTGAAGGAGGTAAGCTGTGATACATCACACCATCAAATGCATCTCATTGGTTATAACAGAATATGTAAAATGCACTTCCTGCCACACTGGTCTCGCATGGTCTTTGTGCATATTACCTCTCTTTCATCCTTGATAGCCAATGCTGAGATTATTAACTTTATCCTTTAAACTTCTCTTTTGAACAAACTTGTCTTTCACTGATGTTATCTAAAATTTCTTTGTTTGTAGCATAGCAAGGAGACTTATCCGGGGCCTGCGGGTTGGGTATTGAGGGGCCAGCCGTTTGGAAGTTAGGCGTATAGAAGAGTGGGATTTTCCCGGTCAACAATTTCGGCTACGGCCTCTGTGTGGTTGGGTGGTGTCTGGCTGGAGCTGCTGGATGGAGACTAATAGAGAGAGGCATGATCATGTTTCTAGTTATAAAAATGACGTTTATACCTCTTCTCAGAACTGTGTGGGCGTGTACAAACTGCATTTGATAAATCATCACCTTAGTTCATCCATCCACCCATTGTCAACCCCTTATCCTGCGTACAGGGTCGCAGGAGGGCTGGAGCCAATCCCAGCTGACATTGGGCGAAAGGCAGGGTACACCCTGGACAGGTCGCCAGTACCCTTAGTTCAATTCAATTTTATTTATAGCGCCAAATCACAACAACAGTTATCATAGCGCTTTTCATAAAAGGGCAGGTCTAGACTGTACTATGTGATGTTATTTACAGAAACCCAACAATTCCCACCATGAGCAAGCACTAGGCGACAGAGGCAAGGAAAAACTTCCTTTTAAGAGGCAGAAACCTCGAGTAGAACCATGGCTCAGGGTAGGCGGCCATCTGCCTCGACCTATTGGGGGTGAGAGAGAGAGAGAGAGAGAGAGAGAGAGAGAGAGAGAGAGAGGGTGATAGGGATGGAGGGTAGGGTGGGAACAGCCAACACAATATACAAACAGAGGTGCAGACAGTAAAGGTAATGTTGACTGAATGAATAAATGTACAGATTTTTATAGTAATGTTAATAATAATAATAACAATAATAATAACAATAGGACTAGTAATAACAGTTGTAGCAGAGGATGTCGAGCAGGAACAGGGAGGTAGCAGGTGACCCGCAACCACAGATCCAGACTCCACAGCTCCAGAGCCAGAAACACCTGCAGAAAGTGACAAGAGGAGAGAGGAGAGGACGAGAAAGCCTAAGACTAGGGAAAAGGGAAGAAGCCAGTTAGTAACATGCATTAATGGAATGAGGTTGCATAGTGAGGGAGAGAAAGAGGAGGAGCTCAGTGCATCATGGGAAGTCCCTGGCAGTCTAGGCCCATGCAGTATAACTAAGGGATGATTAAGGACTCACCTGAGCCAGCCAGCCCGCTTCAGTGGCAGATAAATTTCTGAGTGGAAGACAATAAA